AAAGGAGCGCCCTGCTCTAGTATGAAAAAGAACACATACAAAAATATAATAAAAATATTTTAGCACGATTTTTGCAATAAACGGCGTTAAATGAAATGCAATGCTACATATACAATATTAAAAATATCTGTTCCTACTTCCGATAAGCATTCTGAGATATCTGTTACAATACAAAACATATGTAAACATATAAAAAAAATTTAAAAAAGTCTATGCCATAATTCATGCTTATAATATTGTTGACCAGCTAAACGACTACCGCCTTCTCAAGGTAGATTTTTCTACAGAGTTAAATTACGTCCAGAACTTTAGGAGTATTTAAGCACTTCGAAGAAATTATTGTTGATATTTACTTGTTATGTTTCTTATCTTCAGACGTATTATGATCAAGGTTCATGCGAGCTGGGTGATCATATGGATCCTTTTGCTTCAACTTGCTACAGTAACAACATGCCCTTTGGGTTGCAACTGCCACAGAGACAATACAAACTGCAGAAACGCCTCGCTGACATCAGTTCCTGCCAACGTGACGAGCAACACGACAGCCATCGACATTTCCTTCAACATAATTTCTTGCTTAAGGAATAAAGACTTCGTTAATCTGACACACCTCAAGACCATCTTCCTGAACAACAATAATATCTCACAATTAGAACCGTATGTCTTTCATCAGACGAAAAAACTTCTTCTTCTCTACTTAAATAACAACAAAATTGTTGAAATTAATGACAGTTTGTTTCAGTTCTTGACAAATCTAAAATATTTACATCTGCAAGACAACAGACTACGGCATATCCAGCCATGGCTTTTCAAGTACAATCCCGATCTGTTAATATTAGACATCAGTGGAAATAATATTATTAATTTTGAACCAAACACATTCATCAGCAATCACATTCTTTCTTGGGTGAACATCAAAGGTAACCCTCTAGCCATGCCTGTAAAATGGAAGACACTTCTTAACAGTTCACTTAACGTCTTAGACATCGAGTTTTGTGATGCACCAAGACCATCTATCAGAGCTTTTCAAAATATTCCAGTTCTGAGGATGACGGGGCCAAAGAATAAAGCAGTTCTAAGTCTCCATGAATTTACATCATTCCAAGACATTCTTGGACTGGATGTGAATGAAATTATGTACCTCAAATTGAAACTGTTTCGTCGTTTATACAGTCTGAGTTATGGACTGATTTATAACATGACAATTGGAGAAGATTTGAATGTCGTGTCTTTGACAGGCGAGGACATTTTATGTTATTGCGAAAATCAAAACCTCTGGTTCTGGTGTAACGAACAATCACCAACACCTTGTCCAAAGATTACGACAAACTCAGAAAAATACAAGTTTTTGGAATGCGACATTCAGAGCTATCATGTGAACGATACTCTAGAAGATCAGCATAAAAGCAATATATCAGATAAGGGCAGAAGAAACAGAGCATTTTGGTTATTTCGTCATCCAGTTAGCTGGAAAACAATCAGAAAAACGTTATTGTACGCTTCAGTACCGGGATGTATTATCATCTTAGTGATTGGTGTGTACATAGTGAAACGCGTACGGAGACAGAGAGACAGAAAAAGGACTGAAACTTCGGCAGTCTACTCAGAACTGAACACTTCCAGCAGTTACTGAACGGAAGACAATCATCTTCGATACGTCGATGACGCAGATCATGGATTTCCTTGACAAATCTGCTTCGCTCACAACGCTTATGAAGTAAAAACATGTCGTACAGAAACCAATGTATGCAAATTGCTGTAAGTTTGTACATGACCTTCAGCTTAGCGCACGCAGTTGAAGCGTTCGACTCGTGAGCACAACCCATTTTCAACTTCTGTGCGCTCAAAGTCATGGGTTCGCAGTTACCTTCTTGCTTACTTGACTGCCAGATGGGAAATACATTGGTCGGTCTAGATGTTTTGTTCCCAAAATTCCAAATGAATTTCGATAACACCACTGCTGTCGGACTTGCTGGAGAACACGTCAATAGGAAGCTCCAGGAAAACAAAGACGTACTGGATATGGATGGAACACACCAGCTGCTGGTAAACGCTGTGGTACTTCACCGGGCAACAACAAGAACACCATAAAGAGAAACTCCATTACATGGTATTTAGCGAGCTGGGTGTAGGAGTACATGCATGTCTCGTCACCACACTGCAATACAATATTTTGACAAAGTTATATACATATGGACGAGATTGTAACGTAACAAATTGTGTTGTGTTGTGTTGTTACCTAAAAACGCAAAGAATAAATATATGAAAAAATCGTATTAAGCAGTTCTGTAATTTGAATAAAAATTTACTTGGATATTATCCATCGTCTAGTAATAAAACGTAAAAAACGTAAAACGACGTTTCGGAGATGGGGCTCTATCTCCGTCTTCAGGTTCCTACTTAGTTGGGCCCACTAGATAGAGCTAATCCCTATCTCCGGCCCCATCTCCGAAACGTCGTTTTACGTTTTTTACGTTTTATTACTAGACGATGGATAATATCCAAGTAAATTTTTATTCAATTGACTCTTCACCATCGTCAAGAAGTTTTAGTTCTGTAATTTGCACACTTTTTAAAGTTATTATTAGGGTGATAAAATCAAGGAGGGTTAGATAGGCGGGGCATATAGCACGAATGAGAGCGATGCGAAACGCGTACAATTCTTCGCTTGGAAAGCCTGAACGGAAGATACCATTCGAGAAACTTTGGCGTAGATGACAGGATATTATTATATAATGCTATCATTAAGTACCATAACCAAAGCTACTCTAATCTAAGGTAGAAAGTTCTTCCTGACTCACAATACCGAGAAGACGATAATTTCGATGCCATGTTTTCATGGTACATAGCTCTTAAAAAGAAAACTACCCCCCCCCCGCCCCCAAATACAGGGTATACACAACAGAATGGCGCGGTTTCAAAAGTCAACACAAAATGTATTTCTCACCTTACACGGGCACAACATACAGGTGTAAGGTGAGTAATATTTTTGTTATTAACTTTTGAAACCGCACCATTCTTTTGTGTATACCCTGTATATGTTACGAAAAAATAACAACATTTAGTTTAATAATAAATATTTTGTGTTGAAGCAATAAAAATAACCCATCAAAATCACAATTGTTCTAGACAAGTCGCGCTTTGCCTTTTAGTGGTGCCGTCAAGAACCACATCGTATCTTTGCACAAAGACTAATTTTGGAAAGGGTTATTATATATTGAATTATGGGAAAATGGCTTTCCTCTTTTCACATCACGTGGTATTTTCCAAGAAATCAACTACAGTATACATCATGGTATACTTATCGGAACTGAATTTACTTTACAAGATATTGTTGGTTTAGCTTATCTTGTTGAATGTACACATAATGCCTCTTCTTTAGCAGAAACTATACCTTATGACATTCAACGCCACATTAAATTGTTTGTCAACTACGTCAAAGATATTGTGTCAATCCCAACTTATTAATTATAATAAATCAGTTTACAGACTCTGCACATTCAGGCAACTCTCTACTATAACAGTTTCTGGGTCTCTGTCTCTACTCTTGACACACACGCACCGTCCCCGAGCTTGGTACTCTCGACACGCGGCCTTCAGCCCGTAGCACCCCACTGGACACACGCTGGCTTCTCAGCCGCCACGGTCCACGAACCCGGTGCTCTTCACACACAGCCGATCCTCTTCTCGCTCAGCGCCACACCACCGCTAGATGACTCACACTCTCTTCACTCAATCCTCAATCTTCCACTAGAGACATATTCGCCGGCTCATTTTCCGAAGGTTACATACCAGGAAATCTGGAAGGTTAATCTTCTAGCAATTTCTTTCTACCGGCTTCTGGAACAGTCCGCGGCGGCCACACCTACAGTATGCGTCCGCTAGCCAGGGAAGAAGGCAAGCCCCTCCCCACCAGTGCGATTACGTCACAAAACAAATCCAGGAGCTTGATGCGAGATCAGCCAGTCTCTCAGTTCAGCGCAGATTAGACATGAAACGAATACATTAGACTAATTTCTACTGTCAGTTGTATGCATCTGATGAATACTAGAACAAGGACGGAACAACATTACATGCACCAAACTATACAGAATAGTCTACAGGCGTCCCGGTGAGGAACTGTATCGGTAAGTAGAATTCGAGGTTTTCACGGTGGTGAGTCTGAAGATGGCTGTCTTATGGGTTGTTGCGCCGTGTGGTGTGGTAGAAGTTTACCAGCGTTTCAGAGGTCCTTGCTGCCTCAATCATCAGGGTGATGATTCATCGCCCTGATGATGGAGGCAAGAGACAGCCATCTTTGTATCGGTAAGTTCGTACATCAACAGACAAGTCACTAGGCGTGTCGGATAAATTGCCATGTGAGTCTCTGATTCAGAAGACTGAAAGAATTTTTTCTGTTTTCTAGGGTTTCTGCCATACACTGGGCATTGCTCAGTTTCTGCAGTAGAATCCTAAGGCAGACTACCACTTCCCTTCTTATTAATCTTTTTAAACATTTTACCATATTTAAGTGTTTTCTACGTAGAGTCAGCTGTTGATGCAATCTTGTGAATTGTCAAAGATTTTGAGATGCGAGGCAGGGGAAACAAATTTTTGCAGGGAATAAACTGAGAGGGACATTTTGGAATACTGAGAGTAAAATTGATTTTCGAATTAGCAAGTTGGTGAGACTGTTTATACGTAATCTTACGCTGTTACGATCAATTATCATGAAGAGGAACATCTAACTCTCGTCTTCATGATCTGATTGTATCTACCTATGTGACCATAAAACCAAATCTTAAGGAGCACGATGAATTATGTCATGGTCGTTTGTTCATGACGGCGGCCCAAAAGGAACACAGAATCTTGGTGTTGAGCATAATAAAACATGCTCCATGCGAGATTTGAGGTTCTCACTACGGCAATTATGAAGATGTCTGTATTCTTGGTTGTTACACCCTGAAATCTGGTTTACCGACGTTTTAGATGTACTTGCAGCCTGCATCACCAATACGATGATTGCTACCAATTAATATAACATCTTTCCTATCTACCCATCTAGCAACTTTCTAATACCTAGCCATCTTTCAATGAGGAAAGGAAGTCCTTTTATTGGTCGATTAACCACTTGATGAGACAGACGTCGGAGAAGAAAACATGCTAATATTTAATTAAACATAATAATAAATTTATTTTTAGTACCATCATTCCTTATGATAGCAGTGGCAGACTAGAAATCAGGTAGCGCCTAAAAACATTATTATTAAAATACGAGGTGCGATCGGAAAGTTTCAAGACTATGTCAATAGAGGGCGAACCGGATGTAGTACGAGCTTCTGCCGCTAGGGGGTGCGGCCTACATTCATAGTGAATCAGTGTGCCAGCCGGCATCATCGAATTAGCATTTGTTTCTTAGTTACAAGCGTTTTGGTAGTGCATTGCACCGACCCTCCTGCAATTTCGGAATGGCGTGTGCATCAAATGTTGCCAAAGACTCGCCAAAACGGCTACGTCTTCCTTTAGAATCAGCTGACAGGTCCCATAGCCTATCCCAGCAATGTCGCACAAGTCGTTGATGGTACGACTTCGATCTTCGTAACATTTTCGGGCGTTGTGCTCGAAGATGGTCGTCCAGAACGCTCGTCATCATCGACAGAAGTTCGGCCGTTTTTAAAACGTGAATGCCACACAAAAGTTTGTGCACGACCCATTGCGGACTCCCCAAATGCTTGCTTTAGCATTTCATAGGTTTCCGTAGCCGTTTTGGCGAGTCTTTGGCAAGAGATTCAGGCCGAATCGCAGATGGTGCTTGACAGGCTGACAAAGAAAGATTTCCAGTGATGCTTCCAGGCTTGGCAGCGGCGCTGGGATCGTTGTGTTCACTCCCAGGGGAACTACTTCGAGGGTGATGGATGAATTTAATACCTGAGATAAGTGTACGGGTTTTTATAGGCGCAGTCTTGAAACTTTCCGATCGCACCACACAGCTGAGGAAATTTAAAGATAATAACAATTATAATAATATGCCGCTGTTGTGTTAGACATACAGTAAAAACATTTCATTTACATTTCTCTAGTTTCATTTGTCTTTTGACGCAATAATAGGCAGACAAGACCATTCGCCATTGATAAAAGTAGTGACATCTGTATAATAGCACAACAAATTCTAGAGATAAAAGAATATATCGGTAACCAAGGTAACCTTAATCGTACCATTAGTATGGAGCAATACGAAACGCGTTGCGCCGTTTGATGAAACAGTGTCATCCTGACGTACGGAAGGGTTTAACCTGTATCGTAATTTCATCGACCGCTGGATTAAGACAAAAGAGTGTATGAATTTGAAGTATCATTCTAACGTAGACTGTTTGTTCATCTTGTTTATTTAACCACAATATATCAACTGAAACGCAGCATCCACAGCGTGAAACGAGACAAGTTAAAAGGTAGGTTCTGATTTTGGAACGATTTCTGAGACAGTGGTAGCGGCCAACTTTAATACATAACAACGAAATTTGTCTGAAATGACCGAGAAAGATAATACAAATGCTGTGTAAGGACAGCCGGTGATCTGGACCGGAAACCACACCCTTTATTTTGAAGTAGCATGTAGAGCACAAAAGAATTTGAATATTTCTGCCTTCTGAGTTGTTGCGCTGTGTAGTGTGGTCTGAAACGTTGGTAAACATCGACCGGACTCCACAGCGCAACAACCCAGAAAACAGAAATATTCATACTCACCGCTGTGAAAACCTCAAATCTTACAAACGATTTTCATAATATCGAAATACCTCAACACTGTAGTCTCAAGCTGACGTGCTAACTAGTCGCATATAACTAACTAAGCAACAAACCAGCTAAGCAAGAAGTAAAGCAGCAAGTTACCCCAAAAATTACCATATTCCATCCAGTAGGCCGATCATCTAATCAGGTCCGTCCATGCAACCAATCAATCCCATTCAGCCATTCAGCAAATAACTTTGACGTACTCTGTGAGGGGTTTCGGGTTGCGAACCATTCGACAAACTGATCTATAACACAGGTTGAAATTCACCAAGCGATGCGATCCGTTGCCCGTTAGATGCAGGTTACAATCCAACACACGTAATCTCAAAGTAGTATAGTTTTTATAATCGTAAGTGTATTTGATATTTGAGATGCTCACGGCTTTAAAATGTCCACTGCGGGTAGATTAGGTTGTGACACCGTAATGGATATGTCTTTTTCTTTGATGAAGAACCGAATTTTTAAATATCATTTAATTGAACTCCATGTTACAAAGGCCTAACGAAGCGTACATTCCTATGATTTCTTGGAAACCATGTCGAATGTCTGTAACAGTTTACGATAATACAGATTATGAAACAAAGACCGCTTAGTGTCGACTCGCATTACTGATAAGTAAGGAAGTCAATGGCTGATAAATTAGTAATTAGACATCGCGTAGGAAGAGGGCACATGGAAGGGGAAGTATCGCAATAAGGATTAAAATAAGTGAGTGACAATGAAGTGAACTTTTTTTTAAAAAAGATTTCGTATAATTATGTAAACCTGCTAATGGAATGCTGGTGTATCAAGACATTTATTATTTTATTTATTTAGTGTTCTGTCTGACGACAGGTCCATATGAACAGGATCCTTCCATCCTTTCCTCGGACTGGGACCTGTTCATGTACGTTCTTGGCAGATGATCCAGAAGTGGTTTGCCATTGCCTTCTTCTGTGTGTGAATGGTGTAATTGTTGGGATGCCACGGAGAAACCGGGGAAGCCCCCGGAGGAAAACTAGACCACGGCCTTGCCCAACACAAGTTATAAATTCGGGCACCGCCGGGAATCGAACCCGAGATCCCGGGATTACAAGGCCAACTCTTTGTCCACCCGCAATTTAAACGTTAATTGTACAAAAACGCAACGTACCTTCCTTCGTCGTCAGCAAAATCAGTTGTTGACAGAGCAGATGTCTTCTTCCCTTGTTTCCTTATACTGAACCTACCGGAAGCCGGCGGAAGATTTATCCAATCGGAACGCTGTGTTTTTAGAAAACAAAGCAAAATGTTAACTAGCAATTGATAAAGTCCAAAATAAAACGAAAACTGCAATATAATAACACTGAAGGTGACAACCTTCTGCCACACTGTGCCCTGTAGTGTGATAGATGTTGACCGACGTTTCAGAGGTGCATGTTGTATCTATCATCACCTTATGTTAAACAATGATTGTTTTTCCGCTATACCATTTTCAGATCATTATCAATCAGAAATTCAGTAATTTAAAGTTATTCGAAAACGTCGTTAAATGAACCGTAAACAAATATGTGATATGTGATTTCATTTGCAGGTGCATGATGGAGAAAACGACAATATGGCGGATGTTCTTCGCTGTCTTATTCTTGCATCTCTCAGCATCGGATCTTGGTCCTGATATTTGCAAACGCTCATCCAGAACTGTCGACTGTCGGAACGCATCGCTTACGAAGATAACACTTAACCTTGGCGAAGACACGGAGGTCCTGAATCTGTCTTTTAATCAGATTCGAATCCTCCATAATGAATTCTTCCCTGATGTGAATGTGAATCTCTTAATGTCGATATATTTGAATGACAATGTTATAATAGATTTGGAACCAGAAGTTTTTAAACCACTGGAAGCTTTGAGACATTTGCATCTACAAAATAACCTTATAAAGAGTCTCCATCCAAGCATCTTCCAAACCAATACAAACCTAACGACGTTAGACATTAGTGGAAATCAACTAATGGAAATCAATTCTAACATATTTGAAAAGAATTATGTTCTATCATGGGTAGACATGACAAGAAATAAGTTGAGTGTTTCATACGTCCACCCTGCAATTTTTAGTTCTTCCCTTAACACCGTCGACATAGATATTTGTAAAAAACCAACATATTTTATAAATTCTTTTGAGAATGTACCATATCTTAAACAACTTAAGTTAAAAGAAAGTGAAGTGTTTACTGTGAAAAACTTGACCTCACATCAAAATATAAAACATGAAGAACTATACTCAGAGAATAACGCGATCTCTAAGTTGATTAAGTTTGGTTTTGCGGAGCATAATATGTTAAGGTATGACGGAATAGAGAAAGTAGTATTTCTTCCAGAAAATTCTTCTCTTGTGTGCTTCTGCCCTCGTCTCTCAGCTTGGTTTTGGTGTTACGAGGAGACATTTTCGTGTGAAAACAGAACGGCTGACGTATATTCACTTCTGAAGTGCAGTGGGACGTCAGAAATATTCTTTCACACATCTTCACCTTTACCACGAACACAATCAACATCAACAACACCATCGTCATTACCAGTAAATTATACAGAAGCAGCCGCAATTTATGATGACAAAACGAATGTGCAAGACAGTGAAAATATTTCTGGCGCAAGTTCGAGACCACCTAATGAGAACAGCCATGACACACATACAGTATTATACATTTGCACATTCGTAGTCAGCTTAATTGTTGCTGTTGTAGCGGTGACAGTGTGTTATATACTTAAAAAGAGACGAGAACGAAATATGGCAGAGGGACATGTTCAGTATTCAAATATTTCAATGAACACCTCAACGTCAAATACTTGTAGGTCTGAATTACAACCAATACATTACCTTTCTTCTGATGTCACAGATTTGAAAAATTTTCCCGAACGTATATACGGCAAGATTAAGAAGTAGTCTCATACGAAAGGCACATCAACCACGCATACATAATTTGTTTCAGAAAATGCCATTTAGTACTGCAAAAGTAACTGGTGTTAATAAATGGCATAGACAAAGTATGTCGGTGTTGTTCAGATATTCGTTACATGTAACGCCACCTAGTAATGCAACAGGAATTGTAACTGCTAGCAGATATCCATGGCCTAGTGAAGCCGCAGAGATAACGCTGTATTGACAGACAATGTAATGCCATCTACCTGTATTCACTAATAACTAATGATAACACATACTTTTAAACTGTAGTGAAATGTTAAAGTAATTCCGCAGAATAAATTACAAACGCACTAAATCTGAGTTTGTGGGTTGTTCGACGAGGTTATGACAACTGCTGACAATGTCTGGAAATATCAACGCAAAATATTACAATTCATTCCCTCACACCTAACAAATCATTCAGATTTATTTCAATATAAGAACAATCACTAATTGTTTCAGAAATTGAACAAAAAAGCATTTTACCATCTGTCCGCCGTTATTTGCAAAAACCTTATTTACTGTGTAAAACAAAATCTGCAAAAATTAACACCAGTAAGCGCCTCGAACACAATTCGAGATTCCAGTAATGTTTGTTTGATGACATTTTACACAATGCCTCGTCTTTTAACTTTAAATAGATCGATTATATGTACGTATCAAACATATTCAAAAGAAAATGTATTTCATCCAAAATTTTTCGAATATTTCAACATTCAATTTGTTGGTATCCATTACGCAGTTTCGGGAATGAAACATTCGACTGAAAAGATCTATAAGACCTCTCAATTATGTGTTAATTTCATGCATTTTATTCTAACAACACCCAAAATATATACCCATCTACACACATATTCTATTAATTGTGTAAATTTTTAATGACGAAGCTAATAAAAATGATATATGAAATTTCTGTTCCTACTACCAAGATAACACATCGCAATCTCTAAAGAAATATTACTGTTTATTCTGAGATACTAAGCCATTAAATTCTTAGTAGAAATTCTGTTATCATTAACATATTAGAACAATTTCAGTTTACTCAGTTTTGTCACTCGTATTTATTTACGTCACAATTATTTAGGGCTTGCTTTCATTTGTTTATTTGTATGCAAAAATACTGATAGGCCTGCAGTGGACTTTTTATACAGCCACATACATCAAACTTCCCTTTCATTCCTCCTTTAGTTGTGTATAGAAACAGCTGAATTTTTTTTATCTTTGTGAAAAATCAATGTGAATAACGAAAAGCGTTTGTCCTACGATGTGTAACTAACATCATCCAGGCAAAGCCATCCACCGAGTTGCAGCGAGGTAAAGAAATCAGAGTTCTGGAAGATGTTGCCTGTATTTGTCAACCGACATTTTGTGATATTGTAAAGCACCAAGACGTGGAACTGTGTTTAAACTTCCTGTTCTGTATTAAGCCTCTGCAGAAGCTAAAATTTTTCCCGCTGGTAAGAAAGGCAAGTTCAACGAGAAGGAAGTGATTTAATTTACAGTCCAACAAACAAGAAGAGTGCAGGAAGACTTATTTTACAAGCGTTCCTGGCAACTGTTCATACCTTCACGGTGGTCCAGTAGTTAATTTGTCGCATATTTACATAAACGTATTATATCTTTCGCTTTATTCATCCCGTGCTGAACTCACATGTCAGAAATTCGCAAATTAAAATAACAACCAAATACAATGACAAATGTTATGAATACAAATTGGATTTTCATTAGATTTATATGACCCAGGCTTACCAACTATTGAGCTATGAGTAATATTTTAGAAAACGTGTTATGTATAAAGTTCCGTTATTTTTCATAGGGTGCTGATTAAACCTGATAGTTGTAAACCAAGCATAAAATTCCCCTTACGTTTGATTGTCTACCCCCCCTCTACTACCAATTTTTTTAAAAATCTATTCAATACTTCACGAGATTCATTTAACTGAACCAATACTTCCTCATTATACATTAATTTACCTTTCGTGCAATTTAAGCTCAAAACAGATATTATCTTGACAGTGTTACACAGCATTTCGATACCTTTCTAGGCGAGTCTGCCAAATTTAGTTGCATAATGCACCTATGTCCGTCTGTCCGTCCGTCCGTCCGTCCGCCTGTTCGCATTTAAACAACTGAACGGATTTTCAAGAGATTTAATTCAGGAAAGTTTTGTTAAAATTTGCCTACACGATCGTATTTTTTGTAAAGATCGAATAACCAATACGATCATTTTACGCAAGAATTAGCACGCGTTTCTGCGAAAAAGTGACTGAATGGGGAGTCCCCAGTCGGGGAACTCCAGACAATTGACAAAGATCAAATATCAGATCCTAGTGAAAGCGCCAGAATTCTTTCGTTAAGCACATGTTCCCTATTTTGCGTTTATAAAACTTGCCATGAACAGGATGCTCACTTAAAATTATTTGTCAGGACTTTTTCCAACATCTGTTTTTAAAATTCACGACGTTTCGGAGGCTGGTTCTGTCTCCGTCTTCAGGTGAGAGGTACCTACTCTGTTGGGTCCCTTAGAAAGAGCTAGTCTCTGTTTTAGTCCAGTTCGTTTGCAAATAAGACCTTCATTTCATAAATCAGATCAAAGGATCCGTTACCGAGAAATTTCCCGGCCTCTTTCTACGAGAACACATAAGAGGATTAAAAACAATTCGTTAATCGAGCTGCAGAGACGAGGGTCGAGACGGCTGTTCTAATTACATTATCGATTATCGTTCTGTGTGAGACCAACAACAGATCGTAACCAGAAGGCTCCGAGTTCGTTCGAAAGGTAGCGAAGTCACAATTTAGGGAGTTTAATACAAATACGTAAGCAACTGCTTGTTTCACCTTTTATACCCGTTGGTCTATTAGGGGTTGGACAAGAAACGGCCTGTAAAATTAGTACAGTAAACCCTCGCCCAACTGAGGCGATCAGCCCCTCGAAAGCGGCTCGCTCAATGAATATCCGCGTTGGACAAATTTAATATCTTATGGGATTAACAGCGATACGGAAATGTGGTTGTGGGATGCCACAGCAAATAAATAATAGTATATTACAAAAACACTGTAATTATGTTTATTTGTAATATAAAGAAGTATAATAGGAAAATTAAGCACTAGTCGTAAGGCAAAACATCGGCGAAAAACTAGACTTTAATACAAAATATCAAAGCGATGTTAAGTGTTAAAATATAATATTAGCACAAAGTTCGACATCAAATTCAAATTCCGTAATATCGGGCCGTCTTCGGCCTCTTTAACGGATGTGGTATTTTCGTGTGTTACTACAGGTTGCTTGGCATACCGCGTATAATAAAATTGTTGGCGTTCAGAAAATAATTTCTCGTTTTATTTTCACGTGTAGAATCGAGCCCGCTTAGGAATAGGGCTTTCTATAATGAAGCATTATAGGGAAAAAGACATGCTGTTTAATATTTATTTTCAATTGAAATTTTGAATAAAATGAAAACTTATGAATCTCTATAACACGTGTTTTCTGTTTTAATTTATAGCTTATTTTAAGTATTAGAAAGTCGACTGAGACCCATGTCAAATTCACTTTATCGCGTGTCTTAGCGTCTCCAGAATATCAATCAGATTTTAGAATATAGAACATAGAACTAAAGGACCAAGCAGTGTTAATTAGAATTTGAGGTTCCTACAGAGGTGAGGAGAAGATGGCTGTCTTATGGGTTGTAGCACCGTGTAGTCTGGTAGACGTTTACCAGACTACAAGGTGCTACAACCCAGAATATGGTAATTAATTAATTGCATAATACATTTTTTAGGCCGTTCCTCAAAGACTTTATTCTGCCTGTGCAGAACATTTCCACCATTTATGGTACACGGATGTTCATTAACGTGCTCACAAAATTCCTCCCACTAAACCCTACAATGAATTACATTAATCTAATTGGAACATTTAGACGTACTTTCAGAATCCAATTGTAAATAATTCGATGTAACGTTTTGTATTGACTCTCGCTTCACTAATATTAGAATGTAAACATTTAGGTTAGGTTTTGTACGAACGATTTTATTGTTATTATTTACACAAAGGGTGTAACAATCCAGCAAAAGGGTATCATAATTGTTCCAGGTAAACACGTGAAAGCTTAAGCTGAGTTCTGAGAACTTTCCGTCTGTGGGAAAGCTTTGACGGAATAAAAGTGGAAAAAGGGTGACTTAGTCTCACCCCACATTAAACGGAACCCCTGTCGCGGTTCCACCTCCCGACCACCAGCAACTTTGCGTGCTCATGAGATGAAATCGATTCTCTAAATACTAGGAAGAAATTCTCGTTGCATACCAACAAAATAAACAAGTCTATTTCTACATGTCTAACTAAAATATTACCTGAAAGAAACATTTTTTATACTTTATTATTTTGTATTCATTACATTATGACCGGCTTTATAAATTATTGATTGATTAGTAGGTTATTTAAAAGAATTATAAAATCCTTTTAATAAGTGACGAAATGTTTAAGGTTGACAATCCTGCTTTATGTTCGGGAGACTTCGGGTTTGAATATCGTCTGGAGACGATCTCTCATGACTGAGAATCTTCTATTCTCAGTCCCTCGTTACAACCAATAAAACTAACAACAGAGAAGTAAGATACAATTTACAAGCCCAAGTTCGAGCCCAAAAAAATTAATCTCAGAATAAACATCAATTGTTCCCTTAAACAGCAACAACCATTTGATGTTTGTAATATAAATGAGTTCTTTTCCTTACGGTATGAATTATATGTTTAAATATTTAGACAAGCTTCAGATTCAAAAGGAAAACTCATTACAGTACACCAAAATGTGTTAAGGTGTTCTTTATGTCAAATCACGGGCGATAACGCATGTAAGGCTAATTCTTCGTGGACTTAGGTCACACTTACTCGAAAAGAGTAACAAAAGCAACAATGGTGAAGTTAACTTCTGCGCTGTAAGCTCAGATCATTGTTGTGAATAATAAATTTGTGGATGATACAACGCCATGTGGAAGGATGCGGTTGTCCGAAAATTCAAAACACAAAACCTCGGTCCGAATATTCGACCTCCGGACCAGACCCGGAAACTCCTTAAAAAAAAATACTAACCTCTTGAATGCGACGTTCAGCTCTACTCATTATTGACTTCCTGATTACATAGAGGTCAAAGATCAGCTTCATGGCCCGGCCTGTATTGAATGTCGTGTTAATATTACAGCTAATGCTTTTACTGATACCCAAATAAAAGTAAATTATGTACAGTTTTCATGTGTTTCAGTCGGAGATGCTTACAGTAATCAGTTCATGTGATTTGGCTTTAACTCCATTTTCTGAATTGCGATTAATTTGTGCCTGTGTTTTTTGTGAACACGCTACCATACCTGATCGCACCTGATCGACACTTTTTACAACACAACTAGAACCGAAACGGAAGTGTTTCAGCTCCTGGGGGGCGGGGAGGGGGTCCGAAAAGCGACGCCTGAATTCTGGGGTCACTCTCGATTCACGCAATATCGGAGCGCATGTGTCCCGAGTATCGATTCAGAATGAAGTGAGAGGGCGTCATGGCGAGCTGTGGGACGCCATTACGCTGTAGTGACAGTGTTGGTGCGGACGGCAACAATCGACAGTCGGTAAGTCACATAACAAAGCACTTACGTTCTCATGGAAACAAAGTATGCTGAGTGAGCGCGTTCAGGTTCCTCATATTGTTGCGACAGGAAAGTACATTAAGTGGTTTCAGTTGTTATATTATAAATCTACGCCATCAAATTATAGTAGAATTGCAAAAACACTTCGATACAGACACAATTATGATTATTATATTCTAAAAAGCCTTTTACTAAGAGCTACAAACTGTTCGATTTTATTTTAAATCAGAGTGATCCTTGTTGATGTACCGCTGG